ATCCCTATATGGGATCCAAACCCGTGGCCTTGGTGTTATCAGCACCGCACTCTCCCGAGTGAGCCACAGGCCGGCCCTTTTACCCTTTTCTTGCTGAGAATTATTGCTTTGTATGGATGGCCCATTGTTTGCTTATCCTCTCTTCTGTCAGTGGTCAGTTTTGGCTGTTAAGAATAAAACTGCTACAAATGTTTTTGTATAAGAGTTTTTGTGAATATGTGCAATCATTTCTGTTGGATATATACCTAGGAGCAGAATTGCTGGGTCACAGGCTGGGTATATGCTTATTTTATTAGAAATTGCGGGCCGGCCCGGTGGCGCACTGGAGAGTGCGCCGCTTGGGAGCGCGGCGGTGCTCCTGCCGAGGGTTCAGATCCCATGTGGAGACCGGTTCCCGCTCACTGGCTGAGCGAGGTGCAGGCGCAACACCGAGGGTTGCGATCCCGTTCCCGGTCCCCGGTACGGGCGCGACACCGAGGGTTGCGATCCCGTTATCGGTCAGTAAAAAAGACAAAAAGGTAAAAAAAAAAAAAGAAAAGAAATTGCTTGGCCACTTCTTGATAATGGCTCTTTTAAAAGAGGGGAATCAGGGCTGGCCCGGTGGCGCACTAGAGAGTGCCCCGCTTGGGAGCACAGCGGCGCTCCCGCCGAGGGTTCGGATCCCATGTGGAGACCGGTTCCCGCTCACTGGCTGAGCGCGGTGCGAGTGCAACACCGAGGGTTGCGATCCCATTGCTGGTCCCCGGTACGGGCGTGACACCGAGGGTTGCGATCCCGTTACTGGTTAGTAAAAAAGATGAAAAGGAAAAAAATAAATGAATAAAAGAGGGGAATCAATCCCATTTGTAAGGCTTTTGTTCTCTTGTGAGCACATTTTCCAAAGCTTTTTAGTTAGCTATAGAACAGCATCACTTTGTTTTAGAAGAAATGCCATCACAGGCTCTGGTTCTCACTGCAGATTTCTGGATTTTCTGTCTCAGTAGTTTCCTGCTGGTCCTAGGCCCCTGGCTTTTCCTGAAGGTCTTTTTCAGGACCTGTTCAACTGAGATTCTCTTAATACGCAGGGTCGCTAGTGTCTTTGAGCACTCAGACTAGCAGCCCTCTTCATACTGATTTAAAAAGCAAACAGGGGCCGGCCCGGTGGCGCACTGCTACAGTGTACCGCTTGGGAGCGCGGGAGCGCTCCTGCCGAGGGTTCGGATCCCACATACAGACCGGCCGCTCACTGGCTGAGCGAGGTGCGGGCACAACACCGAGGGTTGCGATCCCGTTGCTGGTCCTGGTCCGGTACGGGTGCGACACTGAGGGTTGAAAAAAAAAAAAAAAAAAAAAAAGCAAACAGATTTGCTTGCTGGCCAGATAAGCTTTTAGTTTTTCAGAAAGAGATCTGTACATGTATTCATAATTGTTCTTTTGTTTTAGCTGATTATTTTAGTCAGTGCCATGGAATGCTGGGAGTCCTTCCAGACAATTAAGACCATAGGCACAAGCATGCAGTCTGCCTATTGATGATACCAGTAGGGCTGTGAGCCAGTTCTGGTGTTCTCTGAGCAACCAGCTGAGCTCAGGGTGCATGTGGGCCTCCCATTTGGGCTCTGGAGTCTCAATGGGTTGTTTGCTTGTAGGTCCTGTTTTGCTGCGTTCCTATTGTCTCTACGTCCTCCTGCTTGCCGTCAATGGAGTAACCGAGTGTTTTACATTTGCTGCCATGAGCAAAGAAGAGGTTGACAAGTGAGTAACCTAGAAGGTATACCTTTAATCATGGCCTTCAGCCAAAATGAAGTCACTTGCCAGTCTCTTTTCTTTTCATTCTAAGCATGCATTTACAGATGGCTCTTTTATTTTTTTTTTTTTTAGTGGTTAATTCTTATACATTTATTTTAAAAAGTCAGACATAGCTTTAAACATCCAATTTATTTGCAGCATTTGTACATGGAAATCATAATATGATGAAACTGCATTCTATTCTAAGCTAGTAAATTATTCCTAAGAAATAGGTTGATGAAATTATAGCTTTTAATAAAGAATAATGACTCTGGAAATGTATATTAATTTGAGACATAGAAACTTTTTTTAAAAAAATGATGTTCTCAGTGTTATATGCAAAGAAGCTCTAAATAAGGGAAGGTTTCTGCAAACATGATATAACAATAATAATTAGAGCACCGAATTTGAGAAATCGAAAAAACAAACCAGTCACTTAAAAGGCAATTATGTATGAAGTGAATTTGCATTTTCATGGTTATTCTAGGGACAGGAGGAGTAATCTAAGGTTAGTGCCTTAGACAGGCCCAATAATGCTGCTACGCAGCATTTAACTTCTCTGATCTTATTTTCTTTTAATTTTCAAAATGGGAACTGGCTGCTTCCATGGCAAAGCACATTGTAAAATTCAAGAATTTTCAAAGAATGCAGTTACTCCATGGCATTCTATTTTAATATTAATATACCCATCTGAAGCAGGTATGATACCAATAAATTGTGGCAATAACAAATTCTGAAACTCAGAGGTTTGCTTCTGCTTTCATAGTATAGATTCCCCTGGAGAGAGCAGGTAATCCAAAAGCAAGCTTGAATCACCCAGAAGGCACAATGTCTGCAGATTCTTGAGTTTCATTATAATAACCTTCTTTAATGATCTTTCCTCAAGCAGAAACCAAATTCCTTTTCAACTTGGAGTCGAGCAGGAAACTTATTGTTGAAGGGTATGTTATAAAACATATTTTCATTGTGGGCAGTTTCATTACCACTTGGATGGTGCACGATGGTGAGCTTATCACAGACATTTTCTTCTTCTGGCCTTTTTCCAATAATGCAGTCTCGTAGTTGGCGTAGTTTTTCCTGCTGAATCATTTCCAGGCCACTCTTTCCCATCTGCCAGTGTTTAAATTTCTCCAGGGCTTCATCCACAGTCATTTTCCCATTCTTGACTCTTTCCTGCAGGAGGATGAGTTCTTCCTGCCCAGGGGCCAGACAGCCCCTTGGAGTAGAAAAGGCTGGACTCTCCATCCGAGCTCTGTCTTGTTTCTTAGGAGGACCATGGAACTTGTCGATGTCAGATTGCCTTCTGGCTGCCTTTTGTTGGAACACTTGAGCTATGTAAGGTGTGGTTTCCTCTTTCGGAGGGATACTTGTGGGTCGGGGTGTCGGGGCAGGAGGTCTGTTTATAATGAAAGACCGACTTCCAGTTTTTTTCTTCATACTCATGTTGGCCAGTATCATGTCATATTCGCTGTCATCAATCTCAGCAAAAGTGTATGGATCTTCCTCTTTCTCCTGCTCCTTTTCATCTTCTTTCTTCTCTTCTTCTCCTTTGAGTTCATCTCCTGGTTCTTGTCTCACGCCAGGATCACACCATTTCTTACTTCTTTCCATGTGGCCTTCCGCCCTTTTGCCTGCGTGTAAGGTGAAGTGAGGTTTTTCCAGTTGGCAGGCGGCAGCTGTAGGTCGCGGGGGGGGGAGGGGGGGGTCTGCTGCTCATGAGCGGCTCTGGTGAATCATTTTCTGGATCGGCTTCGGGAATGAACACGTACAAGTCATCGTATGGGTCCTCGGAGCTCCCACTGGCGGCCTCCGGAGGGTCATGCTCGGCCTCCGCGTCTGACTCACGCTCCTCCGCTTCCCCGGGGGCTGCGTTCACCTCAGCCCCAGCCGCACTCTGCCTGAACGTCTTTCCGCTTTCCTGATGAAATGCTGGGTTCTGTGCGGCTGTTTATGATGAAGATTGTCTGATTTAGTTTCCAGATGGCTCTTTTAGAGGCAATATTTAGACCACTAATGTGGTGCTTCCCTGGGATCTCTGTGGCACTGGTCTGATTCCATTACTGTTCCCCACTATAGGGCTGGGACACAGCAACTACTCTTTGCCTTCTTTTGTGGAGGGAGAAGTATGGGCCCTGAAGGGTTGTGTTAGTCCAGGTTTAGAGTCAGGCACAAGACAAGCTAGACTTCTGTTTCTCTACCTCCTTGTACAATTCCCCTAAGAGTGGTCTTCAACTCCAAAGGGGCCCCAAGAAGCTTCTTCAAGATGCAGATTTCTACCCCTGAGCATCTGATTTTAGGTCTTTGAGAATCTCAGGGATTCTGTGACACCTCTCCTCAGAGAAAGATTCACATGTACATACACATTTTGCCATAATTTTTATCATCCATTGACCCTAGATCAGGACCTCTGCCCTGGAACCTCGACCCAGTAGTTCTTAACACTGGTTGTGAGTCAGAATCCCCCATGGAACAGTTAGAAACATAGATTCCTGTCCCCACTGTCTCCACCACTCTCTCTTCCACCACACCTACAGAATCAGGTCCCCAAGCATGTGTGCATTTTTATAAACCACCTCAATAATTTTGATGTGAACTCCTGGTTAAGTGCCTTTGGCCCACACTCAGGATCATCCACTTCTTGGGTCCCAAATGCCAAAAAGTAGTAAAGCAGAATCTTAAGACATCACTACAGGACCATTTTGAGGAGCGGGATAAAACTGATAGGGGCATAGAAGAGAGAGGAAGATAGAGAAGAGTATACAAAAGGTGAGTGCAGGTGATTGGGCCAGTGGACCTTGTTATCTCACTGCCCCTTGAGGCCTGGGTCCCTCAGGGGTTTTCATGCTGCCTCTGTAACTTTGAGTGTTGTTGAGAGCCCTCAGAGGCCTAGTCTTGGGGGGTGGGATGGAGAAGGGGTAAGTCAAAGGGTTGGGGAACCCTTCTTCCTGCTCAGAGTAGCCTCTGTCTTCTCCCTGTCTTAGACTGACTCACGTAAAGGCCTGGTGACTTTGTTTGCTACACAGTAGTTGAGATCTAAAGTCTAGACCATAGATCCCAACCAGACTAATGAGATTCTCCTAGGAAGTCTGGTTCTCTCCCAGACCAGCTAAATTAGAACTTTAGGAAGCCTGAGTTAGGGAATCTATTAGACAACTCCAGGCAATTCTGATATTAGGGCTGCAGGAACTGCTAGCCCAGACCAATTTTCACAGTAAAAACTGCATTGCACACTGTGACCCAGTACACACTTAGGTGCATGTGACTGAAACAAGGGTTCACAAAGCAGGAAGTACCCCAGTTATGTACAGGACACACTGATGCTTTTTATTCTCTTCTATTTCATTATTTTTATTTGTTTTTTATTTTATTTTATTTTATTTGTCCTTTTTGAGACCGGCCACACTGTGCTCAACCAGTGAGCGCACTGGCCATCCCTATATAGGATCCGAACCCGCAGCGGGAGCGCTACTGTGCTCCCAGCGCCGTACTCTCCCGAGTGCGCCATGGGCTCGGCCCTATTTCATTTTTTTTAAATGCCGTGTCATGATCTACTAAATTGATTTCCCAGATACTAGTAGGTCATAACTCATACTTTTAGAATAGTGGTCTAGGCCTGGTTTTCACCTCAGATAGTTAAATTTACAGCTATAGAACTGCTTTGAGTCCATCTTTTTTTCCCATGGATGAAAAGGCCTATTTTAAGTTTAACTTTGAAAATTTAGTGCTTTTGGGCCGGCCCGGTAGCGCACTGCAACAGTGCGCCGCTTGGGAGTGCGACGGCGCTCCCGCCGAGGGTTCGGATCCCACGTACAGACCGGCCGCTCACTGGCTGAGCGAGGTGCAGGCGCGACACCGAGGTTGCGATCCCGTTGCCGGTCCCGGTCCGGTACGGGCACGACACTGAGGGTTGCGATCCGTTGCCGGTCACGAAAAAAGACAAAAAGGAAAAAAAAAAAAAAAGAAAGAAAATTTAGTTCTTTTACTTGAAGGCCACTTTCTAACATTAACTAATTTTAAATGTAATTTAAAACATGCTGTGTGGGGCACTGTGGTGTAGTGGAAAGAGCCTGGACTAGGAGTACATCTCTTTGAAGGAAATTTTATTATAGTAACTTCAGCATTAGTGTGGAGGGGGTGAGCCAACATTTAAAATGTTTTTTAAAAAAGAAAACTTGCCATCAAATCATGAGGGAATATAGACAACGGCTGGTTGCTTTCTTTCTGCTTTTATCACATTGAACTAAAGGAAACTATAGCCTCTTTAAGTCAAAGAGGCTATAGATTTGTGAGCTCTGGAAAGTTCAGCTGCAGGGCCCTCTTCTAGTGAAAGACAGTGGACCACACCGGCTCCTCCCAGACGCCCACACAAGAGGCCGCACTGTTGAATGCATCCCTGCTTGAATTAGCATGAACTAGCTACTGGCTTTGTTTATTATTGCCATTTTACTTGGAGTTGGGTGAGGATGACTTTGAAAGTTTGTGAATCTGTGGCTTAAAGTTGAAGGGTTGGTGTAGTAGACCTTTCTGAGAGAGTTTCTGAGAAAATAATGGATTACATATCTCTGCTTCTTTTTGGAAAATAAGTCAAAGTCCTATCTATGGTCTTCAGTGGCTTGTTATGAAGTTGACCATTCTGATCATCGATTAGTACTTAGTGAAAAAACTTCCCTTCTGGAGGTAGGGGCCCAGTACTTCTATTGCCTGTTAAAAGAGACTCTCAATTGAGAAGCAAATGAACTCTGAAATTCTGGATGAAAGCATACCTTCCCTGTTAGAGTATAGTTCTCAATTGAGAAGCAAATGAACTCTGAAATTCTGGATGAAAGCATACCTTCCCTGTTAGAGAGTATAGTTGTGTGTGTGTGTGTGTGTGTGTGTGTGTGTGTGTGTGTGTAGTGTTCTAACCACCCACTTTGATAAAGCCTATCTCCATTGCACCTTGGGCTTGGTCAGCCCAAGGACCTATACCTGGGCTTTCTTACCATCACTCATGCAGAACCTGGGTGGTGCCTCTGAGGTTACCTAACCGAGCAGGCACATCTTGGGGACCTAAAGGGTTTGGTTCCCTCAACAACTATATACTTAGAGTGCCTGCTATGTGCTAGGCAGAAACCGGATGCTGGGTAATTTGTTCACGGCTATACCATAAGCCTTTCAGAGGACTATGGCAGCTATTTTACATTTGCTAAGACTTGGTTCCCTTTGCTGAGAACTGAAGATAACTAAGTGATGTGCTGCTTTGAAACAGAAGTGAAAGGAGTAATATAATCCATTCAACTCCAGAATCCAAGAGCTCTAGAAATACTGAGAGTACAAGGAAGGACATGTAAGAGTCTGGAAAACACCAAAGGGATTGAGATTTGCTCCCTGTTCACATTTCATTTTGGAGGCTGGTCATTTGCTTTGAGTGAAGTCCACTGGCCAAAGTTAACGGTGCTGTATTTCCCAAGGGAAGCAGTGTGAGTCTCTGAAGCTTAGGGGCCAGGAGTCGGGTTGGAGTGTCGACTCACTCTTCAGGCAAATTACTCACTCAGCCTCTCCTTGTTGGTTCCCTTGTCTGTGAAACAAATCCAAACTCCACAGGGAAAGCCATGTGTGTTCACTCACCAGTGTGTCCACAGCACTCCTCACAGTGCCTGTCACAGAGTTAGCATCCGATCTATAATTATTACCCAGGTCTTATTCTTGTCCCCACGTTAGGGACTTGGGCTGAACAGGATTTTCATGTGTTTTGATCAAAGACTGTCACTTAACTAACCAATTATTATCCTTTAAAAACATAAATATCTTGAATTATTTAACTCTTCTGTTCAGGGGTGAGGGAGACAGTGACATTTCCGTCTTATCCATATAGCATTTGATGTTATGAAAACCTGGATTATGTGAACTCAGTTTCTTTCTGTGAGTTGATGTTCATGACCACTTTTTTTTTTGCAGCAATCCTGTCTTGGGGCAAGTACCTACTGCCCTGCTTTGCTTGTCTCACTTTCCTCAGGTACAATTTCACAATGCTCGCCCTGTCCTCCTCATTTCTGGTGTTATCCTATCTGCTGACCCGTTGGTGTGGCAGCGTGGGCTTCATTTTGGCCAACTGCTTCAACATGGGCATCCGGATCACACAGAGTCTCTGCTTCATCCACCGCTACTTCCAAAGGAGCCCTCACAGGCCCCTGGCTGGCCTGCACTTGTCACCGATCCTCCTCGGGGCATTTGCCCTCAGTGGTGGGATTACTGGTGTTTCAGAGGTGAGGCTCCCTGCCACCTTCACACCACATGCTTTTGAGGGCTGTCCAGTGTCTGTCCCTCTAGGCTTCCCCTTCCCACTCTGCCAGAACCAACTGGACAAGTGCTTACTTCCTCTTATTCCTTCCCCAGGCCTTTAGGGCAGCATCTTATGATAGAATGTTAACAGGGGGAAGAGAGTAGGTCCACAGTACGTAGTTGTCATGCCTATTATCTGACTTGGACGCTGGAACAATAGCTGCCTTCCCTGGCTGGTCCCAGAGGAAGGAGGTACAGACCAAGGTGCCGGGCAATGACCATGGTTTCTTTCCCCAGGTGTTCCTATGCTGTGAGCAGGGCTGGGCATCCAGGCTGGCACACATTGCTGTGGGGGCCTTCTGTTTGGGAGTGACTCTCGGGACAGCATTCCTCACAGAGACCAAGCTGATCCACTTTCTTAGGACTCAGTTAGGTGGTTCCACACTCCCTGACAAAATGACTTGACTTCAGGGATGCCTTGACACCTGTGGCACCTGGACCAGCTATGGGGTGGTTCTGTGGGCGGAACACATTTCTGTGCAAAAGCCCTGCTGAGGCGTCTGCAGTAGAGTGAGAGCAACCCAGGAGATGGGACGACAGAGACAACCACTGGGTGAAACACCATCCAATTCAAGTCCCAAACACAAAGGAGGAGTTTCATTTTTAAATGAAGACCAAAAAAGCCCTTTTAAAATAGATACAATTTTTTTCATCATTTTGTTCTAATCAGCATTTTTCCTTTTTATTAATATATTAATTCTGGGCCGGCCCCGTGGCGCACTCGGGAGAGTGCAGCGCTGGGAGCCCAGCGCCGCTCCCGCCGCGGGTTCGGATCCTATATAGGACTGGCCGGTGCGCTCGCTGGCTGAGCACCGGTCACGAAAAAAAAGACAAAAAAAAATATATATATATATATATATTAATTCCTTTCAGGTGTGATTGGCCTGTGGAGCAACATGTTCCAACAAGCTATATCTTAGATGTTAACAGTTAATAATCATCTGGCCCAGAAGAGGTGCAGCCATTTTACCCTTTACAGGAATATTTAATTTCTTCTGTAAAAGAAGGAAGGAGACCTGATGTTATATACTAAAGAATGAAGTGTGACGGAATATTTAATTTCTTCTGTAAAAGAAGGAAGGAGACCTGATGTTATATACTAAAGAATGAGTATTTTTCCTGGAGTTGTGGCTCTCCCCCTGTCAACACTGTGGTTTGAGTTTTTAGGGAAGGAAAAATGTTACTCAGTGAGAAACCCAGGAAATGAAAACGTGTATCCCCTGGGCCAGCACATGTCTTACCCAGCATGGGCCCTCAGGATTTGTTCATTGAAGGGTGTTTGAGAGCTGGCTGAAGACACCTGGTCTGGCCACCTGAGAGAGGGGACTTTGAAGGAAACTCTAATTGAGCGTGAGCTACTTTGTTCCCTGAAGAGAATGCTGCTTTGCCAGTTTCTGTAAACTTCTCATATGGAAGTTGCACAAATGACAGCTAAGGTGGAATAGATGTATCTTTTCATCCTCAGAATAAGCATTGTAAGTTCAAGATGGCAGTATTACTGAGCCAGGTCCCTCTCACTGACCCATTATTTCTAGCACCGGTCATTACAACCAAATTCCAGACCTGGGGCAAGAGTATCAGGCCTGGGGGTCTGGTCCTCCAGGCTACAATGTGAACCCAGGCTCTTTGCACCTTGCACCCTACATCCTGCAGGTGAGATCATTGAGCATTGTTCCAGGGCAGTAAAGTGTTTTTCTTTTTTCATGAATGTATTAATTTCTTTTGGCTGATTGCCCTTTGGAGCTACGTGCACTATATCTTGGATGTTAGTAGTTAACAATCCTCTGGCCCAATGTCCCTAAACTTTCCATGTTTACACCCAAAGAGAGGGCCAGTAAGGGCAACTCTTATTATGCATTGAAATACACGTATTTAAATCCACTTGCCCAGAGCAGAGGGGCCAAGGATCAAGACCCACCAGCACACCAAGACTGGGGCCCAGTCACCTTGATACATTTTTGTCTATGCAGAGGGAAAATGCTTTGCACTAACTGGGGGAAGAGCAGCTAAATACAAAGTGTCCTGTGCAATCAGACGTTTTCCAAAAGCATGGCCTCAGTCATGCATTTGAAGGGCAGGGCAGGCTTGCTCAGGAAAATGGATTGGCCCATGGAGTGGGGGATGGGGGTGGAATGGTACACACAGAAAGCAGCCCTTTTTCCTACATCCTTTTTCTGCCTCGAGTGCACAGAAATGGTCCTTCAGTCCTCACAAGCTCCTTCTTTACTGCTGCTGACCACCTCTTCCCTCCCCCACAACCCTGCCACGCACCCCATGCCCACTTGGCCCCAGACTCAAAGTGTGGTCCTCGTACTACCTGCCTGAGAATCACCTGCATTGCAGGTTAGAAATGTAGGTTTCCAGGACCCATTCCAGACTTCAGAGTCTTTATCTTTAGGGGCAGGGCTCTGGGATCAGCTTTTTGGGCAAGCCTGCAAGACTGTGATGTCACCAAGGTGGGCACATCCTGTTGTCCTCAGTGGCAGGCCCTAGACCCATTGTGTACATGCCCCCAGTGTCTTTCCTCTGCTCCTAGAACAGAGCTGCCATTGCACAGTCTGTGACTTCCAAGGTCTTTGGGAACAGGACCACCAAGTTTCCCACTCTCTGGTAGAGAGAAGCTCTGTGTCTTGACAGTGGGGCTCTTTTGCCCCTCCCTGCGCTGTCTGGCAGATGCTGCTGTCTGCCAGGTGCTGCTGTCATCACAGGGCTACTGTGGTCAGGGCCAGCTCCTCTTGAAAGGTGGCCAGCTGGGACTGTAGCCCTTGGCTGCTTCCTGCATCCTGCTCTCCTGTTTTTAGGAAGAATAGTGCCGTGGCCCCGTGCTTTCCCATGACTAGCACCTGCCTCCTGGGCTGTCAGCACTTTTGGCAGCAGGTCGCAGCAGCTCTCTGTCCCCTGACTGCTTCCCTAAGGCTCATATGGACCTGGCCGGTCCTCTAGTTCTTTCCCCTGCTGGCCCCCTTGGGCCACACCTGTTGCCTCAGGGTGCTTGCATACANTAGTTCTTTCCCCTGCTGGCCCCCTTGGGCCACACCTGTTGCCTCAGGGTGCTTGCATACATGTGGGCCTGGCTGCCTCACTTTACCAAGAAGGATTTCGGGGGGGAGGGGGGACATCACAATTTTGGCTTTAAGTACCACTCAAAATATAGTGAGGCTACTCTCCATGGAAACAAGTCTCTAAGACACATTCTTTTGTGAAGGAAGAAGTCTTTGGTAGTGAGAATTACAGTATTGCTGGCTTTCTGTGCTCTTCTGGTCACGCATAAGTGTTGGTCACTTCAGGCTTGGCCTGAGGTCCCTCAGTTGGGGATGCTGCTATGCTACCTAATCTTTCCTCAGTGGCGACTCCTGTCTCTGGAGGTGCTGTTTACTCTGCCCTGTTCCCTGCCACTTCCCAGCCTAATCCAAGCAGGCCCTTGTTCCTCCTGTCTTTTTTCTTTAATTGTGTATTCATGTTGCTAGTTTCATGTTAGTCCCGTGGTTTAAAAGGAATAAATTATTTTAGGGCCAGCCCATGGCTCACTCGGGAGAGTGCGGTGCTGCTAACACCAAGGCCACGGGTTCGGATCTTATATAGGGATGGCCAGTTAGCTCACTTCAGAGAGCATGGTGCTGACAACACCAAGTCAAGGGTTAAGATCCCCTTACTGGTCATCTTTAAAAAAA